TATATATATATATACTAATAATTTTCTTTTATTTCAGATTCCCGCTACGTGGAGGTTCCCCTGTTCCTCATTTCATATTCATCCATTTCATTTCGTGTCATTTATCCAGATACTAGGTAAGTACTCATTCACACCGCACACATATCATTCACTCTTATTTCTACTGCACGCGATCGCAAAGGACCCGCAACGACCGCATCTGACCGCAAATGCGGCATCTTCACCGCAAAAAATTCGTCAATGTCTTTGCATCTACTTAATTCATATTTTTCTATCGTTATTCTTTGTTGCTAACTCTTTTTCGATTGCTATTTATTTCATCGCAAAATTTTGCATTCGTCCGCATACGCGAAATTGTCTATTTGTACGTTCTTTATACGGTATATTGTAGGAAAGGTGCGGTAAAACTTTAGACACAACATATATATTAAACAAAGAAAACTCTATTCGTTGATTCATGCGGATCCGATTCAAAACTGTACGTTTAATCGTTTATATCTAAAAATAGGTTACTAAACGAGAATGATGCGGTAAATGTACTCTACATAATACAACACCCAGGGAGATTAAACCATCTTTATTCTTATATATATGTATATGGAAGTTTTCTGATCCCGTTCTCGATATCTCATCGCAGTTTTAATGCAAAATAATATATTCTAAATATTTCCATTAGTTAGGATAACAATACTTGGTTGAAATAAACTTTACGTATATTTATATAGATATTGTTTAAAATTTATTGTTTTGTTTTCTTTTGGATAAAGATATATATATATCTTTATCCAAAAGAAAACAAAACAATAAATTTTGTCCGCACTAATGAAATATTATTCTAATAATACTATTCTAATACTATTCTACTATGAAATATTGTTCTGAATACTATTTGAAATTAATGTTTATAATTATGTTTTCGATCGTTCCGGATCAGCACTTGTATCGATTATGATACTTGTTATTTGTCTGCGTGTAACTGAAGAGTGAATAACTGTTACATTTTATTCTTTTCATTTGACGAAAAAATTATTTGATCAATCTTGTTATTTCATCTAATTATCAACAAAATTAATATTATATTCTACTGATTGTATGTATACACACAAGTTACATCAATTCGATGAATATTAATCTGCTTTCTTCTTTTTTGTCGGTTCTTTTTTCAAAAAATAATTTCTATATCATATATCTGTGACGTTCTCATTCTTATTACAGCTTCACTTTATAAGAATTCTTGTTTCCTTCTGACCTGTAAAGAATGAAGCTAAGGAACCTCATTGTGATGTTGAATGGTTGGTCCCATGATTGATGCACTACTTGTACTAAATTAGAATTATATTGATATCGTTGAGAATGACTTGAAATAAGTCGAAACGCGTATGGATTTTATACCAACTTTTTATATTGTTATATTTTATATTGTTTACATTAAAAATGAACATATAAACATTTTCATTATTATACTTGCGCAACGATTACCGCGCTGATTCTTATTTTCTCTTACATTTTAATATAGTATTAGCATTTTAGTATATTTTATATTTCAAAGAAATGTCAATAAAATTTTAAAGAAATATCAGAGTAATTTCAGTTTAGTTTTAACGATTTTTCTGTATGTTAGTTGAATTTCAGTAAATTTTCAGTAATTTCGCTGAAATATTCCAAAATGTGGAATTATTTCAGCGAAATTTTTTCATCAGAGATTTTATAATATTGTAGCGTATATAATTATATGGAATGTTTTTTATAATATATGTAAAAATCTCTAAAAACTCTGTATGGACGAAACAAAATACAAAGTTGCTCTTACAAAAATATTTTGAAAAGAAAGATATGTTTCATGATCCAAAAATAAAAAAGAA